CAACAGCAAACAAATTCAAAAGCTAGCAGAAGATGAGAAATAACTAAGATCAGAGCTGAACTGAAGGAGCTAGAGATATGAAAAACCCTTCAAAAAACATCAGTGAATCCAGGAGCTGATCAACAAAATAGATAGACTACTAGCCAGGCTAATAAACAGGAAAAGAGAGAAGAATCAAATAGATAAAATGATAAGGGGGATATCAATAAAAATGATAAAGGGGATATCACCACTGATCCCACAGAAATACAAACTATCATCAGAGATTATAAACACCTCTACCCTAATCAACTAGAAAATCTGGAAGAAATGGATAAATTCCTGGACACTACACCCTCCCAAGACTAAACCAGGAAGAAGTCAAATCACTGAATAGACCAATAACAAGGTCTGAAATTGAAGTTGTAATTAATAGCCTACCAACCCAAAAGAGCCCAGGACCAGACGGATTCACAACCAAATTCTACAAGAGATACAAGAGAAGCTGGTACTATTCCTTTTGAAATTATTCCAAACAATAGAAAAAGATGGAATCCTCCCTAACTCATTTTATGAGGCCAGTATCATCCTGATACCAAAACCTGGCAGAGACACACCAAAAAAAAAAAAAAAAAAAAGAAGAAGAAGAAGAAAATTGCAGGCCAATATCCCTGATGAACATTGATGAGAAAATCCTCAATAAAATACTGGTAAACCAAATCCAGAAGCACATCAAAAAACTTATCCACCATTATCAAGTCAGCTTCATCCCTGGGATGCAAGGCTGGTTTAACATATGCCAAACAATAAATGCCCAATGACAAAACCCACTGATTATCTCAATAGATGCAGAAAAGGCCTTCAAAAAAATCAACAACCCTTCATGCTAAAAAACATTCAAAAACTATGTATTAATGGAACATATCTCAAAACGATAAGAGTTATATGACAAACCCATAGCCAATATCATACTGAATTGGGCAAAAGCTGAAAGCATTGCCTTTGAAAACTGGCACAAGACACGGATGTCCTCTCTCACCACTCCTATTCAACACAGTGAGACTGGGTTCCCCGGGCATGGGGGAGGCTCAGCTCCTGGATAGGATGTGTTCTTCCAGGCTCTTATTCCCTTACTTACCCAAGAATGGGAGGGAAGACCCCACCAGGCATGGTGAGCGATTAAGTAAATATTGGACCCCAAAGAATTTTGTAGAAAGTGATTTAATTAGGCAGAGAGAGAGAGAGAGAGAAAGGAGAAAGAAAAAGAGAGAGAGAGAGTAGCTTCCAAGATGTTGTGGAAGGGGATCCAGAAAATGGAGTCTGCACTGATGAGAGAAAAGGAGACTTTTTACATGGGAGAAATTCCCACCCCATTCAGGTTTTCTGTCCTATGAAAGGGGTTCCTTTAAACTTCCGCTGGAGTGATTGGTCTTTGATTTTTTCCTGCGTGTGCAAAAGTCAAACAAAGACCTCTTGTCCCCCAGATGGAGACGTGGGTGGAGGTATGGCACTGGGAAGTTCTTACCTTTGAAACTATGCCCCCTTGTGGAACCAGGAAGAGAATACATTCCCTCAATAGTATTGGAAGTTCTTGACAGGACAATCAGCCAAGGGAAAGAAATGAAGGGTATTCAAATAAGAAGAGAGGAAGTAAAACTGTCTCTGTTTGCAGATGACATGATTGTATACTTAGAACACCCCATTGACTCAGCCCCAAATCTCCTAAGCTAATAAGCAACTTCAGCAAAGTCTCAGGATACAAAAATCAATGTGCAAAAATTACAAGCATTCCTATACACAAATAACAGACTAACAGAGAGCCAAATCATGAGTGAACTCCCATTCACAATTGCTGCAAAGTGAATAAAATACCTAGGAATACAGCTTACAAGGCATATGAAGGACATCTTCAAGGAGAACTATAAACCACTGCTCAAGGAAATAAGAGAGGACACAAACAAATGGAAAAACACTCCATGTTCATGGATAGGAAGAATCAATATTGTGAAAATGGCCATATTGCCCAAAGTAATTTATAGATTCAATTCTATCGCCATCAAGTTACCAGTGACTTTCTTCACAGAATTAGAAAAAAAACTCATTTCAATTTCATATGGGACCAAAAAAGAGCCCGTATAGCCAAGACAATCCTAAGCAAAAAGAACAAAGCTGGAGGCTTCATGCTACCTGACATCAAAATATACTACAAGACTACAGTAACCAAAACAGCATGGTACTGGTACCAAAACAGATATAGAGACCAATTGAACAGAATAGAGGCCTCAGAAATAATATCACACATCTACAATTATCTGATCTTTGACAAACCTGACAAAAACAAGTTTCTCCTCTGTGCAGGAGCTTGGTTCAAATCCTAGTTCTGCTGCTTTATTAACTGAATAATTTTGGGGAAATTATTCAATTCAATGGGGAAAGAATTCCCTATTTAACAAATGGTTTTGGGAAAACTGGCTAGCCATATTCAGAAAATTGAAACTGGATCCCTTCCTTACACCTTATACAAAAATTAACTCAAAATGGATTAAAGACTTAAACATGAGACCTAAAACCATAAAAACTCTAGAAGAAAACCTAGGCAATAGGTTTTCTTTTCATTCAGGATATAGGCATGGACAAAGACTTCATGACTAAAACATGAAAAGTAATTGCAACAAAAGCCAACATTGACATATGGGATCTAATCAAACCAAACAGCTTAAATACAGCAAAAGAAACTATCATCAGAGTGAACAGGCAATCTACAGAATGGGAAAAAAATTTTTGCAATCTTTCCATCTGACAAAGGTTTAATATCCAGAATCTACAAGGAACTTAAACAAATTTATGAGGAAAAAACAAAACAACCCCATCAAGAAATGGATGAAGGATATGAACAGACACTTCTCAAAAGAAGACAGGCAGCCAACAAACCTATGAAAAAAAGCTCATCATCACTGGTCATTAGAGAAATCCAACTCAAAACCACAATGAGATGTCATCTCATACCAGTTAGAATGGTGGTCATTAAAAAATCAGGAGACAGCAGATGCTGGCAAGGATGTGGAGAAAATAGGCTTTTACATTGGTGGTGGGGGTGTAAATCAGTTCAACCATTGTGGATGACAGTGTGAAAATTCCTCACGGATCTAGATCTAAAAATACCATTTGACCCAGCAATTCCATTACTGGCTATATATCCAAAGGATTATAAATTATTCTACTATAAAGACACATGCACATGTATGTTTGCTGCAGCACTATTTACAATAGCAAAGACTTGTAACGAACCCAAATGCCCATCAGTGATAGACTGAATAAAGAAAATGTGGCTCATATACACAATGGAATACTATGTAGCCATAACAAAGAATGAGTTTATGTCCTTTGCAGGGACATGGATGAAGCTGGAAACCATCATTCTCAGCAAACTGACATAGGAACAGAAAACCAAACACCATATGTTCTCACTCATAAGTGGGAGTTGAACAACGAGAACTCATGGACACAGGGAGGGGAACATCATACACTGGGTCCTGTTTAGGGGTGGTGGGTAAGGGGAGGAACAGCATCAGAAGAAATACCTAATGCACATGGGGCTTAAAACCTAGGTGACAGGTTGATGAGTGCAGCAAACCAGCATGGTATATGTATACCTATGTAACAAACCTGCACCTCTGTATATGTATCCTAGAACTGAAAGTATAATAATTTTTAAAACTGCATATACTTTTCACTCCCCAAAAACTTAACTATTAATAGCTTACTGTTGACTGCAAGCCTTACTGATAACATAAACCATCAATTAACACATATTTTATATTTATTAAATGATGGATTCTTATGATAAAGCTACACAAAAGAAAATGCTATTTAAAAAATCCTGAAAGAAAATATATTTACTATCCATTAAGTGGAAGTGGATTATCATAAAAGTCTTCATCCTCATTGTCTTCATGTTGAGTAAGCTGAGACGGAGGAAGAAGAGCAAGGGTTGGTCTTGCTTTCTCAGATGGCAGAGGTGGAACAGATAAAGGTGATAGAAGGCAAGGCAGGAGAATCAGGGAGATTTATTAAAAAAGGTCTGTATAGAAGTGGACCATACAGTTCAAAGCCATGTTGTTCAACAGTCAATTGTACTCCCAACCTGAATAGTCTCATCATCTTTGATTTCAGGCTCCATAAGCAGAGAGTAGATTGTTTGATTCTTGGGTGTTTTGTTTGTTTGTTTATTTTGATTTTTCTTTTTTTCTTTTTAAAGGAAAGCTTTAAAATAATCCTTGTTAGTATAGTTAGCATGACCAAATACAGAGATAGTATGGAGAGTATTAAATGTTAAGGTGCTTAAAAATCCACTGAGGACCTTATTCAAATGCAGATCCCAGGCAGTGCTCCCAGAGAATCTTAGTATGTCTGAAGTGAGACCTAGAAATATAAATTAATTACAAGCTCCCTAAATGATTTCAGTAAAAAATTGATAAAACATAAATCTGAGACCAAATAGTCTGGATTCATATTAGTTTTATCTCATTTGATTAAGTAAATTATAAATTTTAGTTGATGTAGCTCAAACTTCTGAGTATACATATTTATATTGCTAAGTATATTTCACTTATTTAGAGGTAGTTTATTTTTATATCATGATGTAATGGAAAGAGCATGACAGTCTGTAGAAGCTTGGTTCAAATCTCAGTTCTGTTGCTTAATTAACTGAATAATTTTGGGAAAATTACTTTATCTTGTTAAGCCTTATTTTTTCTGTTTTAAATGAATAGTAGCACCTAACAACCCCTCATAGAGGGTTAAAAGAATTAGCACATGTAAAGTAATTAATTCAATATCTAATGCAGTAAAGTACCAAAAAATAAATCCCAACAGGCTATAAGAATTCTGCTATATGAAGTGTTACACTGAATACTCCTACTGTAGCTTACTAAGCATTATCTTTGCATTTAGAACTATTTTCTATCTTCTGTGTTTCAGCTGGGACACTACTTTGCTCTATGATTGTGCCAGTTACTTACCTATTTGCTCTCAGATCAATTTGCCTTCTCTCTCAGCTCTTTTCTGTACCATAGGAAGCTAAACCCTGGTAACGTTTTCCCAAGCTTCCTTCTCAACTTGCTTCTGGGTAAGTTTAGACAATAAAAGGCACTGAGGGAATACAGAAATGAAAAGAAAAGATAAAGGGAGGTGACCATTCCAGTAGGATCTCTTCTGGATTTCAGCTGTTGAGGCTGATGGCCTAGGCTTTGGGGGGAAAAAAATAAAACTTTTCCCATTTTCCCTTCAGTGCTGGGTTAAGAACAGCCTAGTTGCAAATGTTAAAGTTGCCTCACCTTCCCCTGGGGGTGCTTTCCATTTTAATAGAACGTAATATTTTTAATATAACTGCTTTTTGTTTGGGGAGTCAGATGTGCATTAAAAATTTACAGAAATATTTTAATAGTAATTGAAATTTCAAGTTAGGTTTTATTCTAAGAAAGGCTTTTCAGAAACAAATTACTCTGTTACGGAAGAGAAAGTCTATATATAGTAAAAGCCAGTAAATGTTAGTTTCTTCCTTTCCTCCAGAAGAAAAAATTTGGAACGGAATCTCTTCATCCACCAAAATCAAACTATCTTTGTTTTCTCCATTGCATGAGATTCTGTATTTTTTGTTTTAATATAGAGATGAAAATGACACTAAAAAATTTTAAACTTTATATTATATGACCTTTTAAGAATATATGGAGAAGTCTGAAGAAGATAGAATAGAGTCAGGAAATAAACCCATGTGTTTATGGCCAATTGATCTTCAACAAGGATACCAAGAACATGATGGGGAAAGGATGGTCTCCAATATATAGTGTTGGGAAAAATAAATATCCACATACAGAAGAATGAAATTGGACCCTTATCTCACACCATATTAAACAATCAACTCAAAATAAAGAAAAGATTTAAATATAAGGCCTGAAACTGTAAAACTACTAGATAAAAACATAGGGAAAAGCCTTCTTGACATTGGTCTAGGCAATGATTCTTGGCTATAACCCCAACTGCACAGACAACAAAAGCAAAAATAGGCAAATGGCAAATGGAATTACATTAAACTAAAAAGCTTCTGCAAAGCAAAGGAAGCAATCAACAGGGTGATCAACATGCAGAATGGGAGAAATTATTTGTACACTGCATATCTGATAAGGAGATACTGTCCAACATACATTAAAAAAAAAAAAAAAAGACTCACTAGCAAGAAAAAAAAAATCCTATTTAGAATTAAGCAAAGAACCTGAACATACATTGCTCAAAGGAAGATATAGAAATGGCTAGGAGGTATATAAAACAAATGTTCAGCTGGGTGCAGTGGCCCACGCCTGTAATCCCAGCACTTTGGGAGGCCAAGGTGGGCAGATCACGAGGTCAAGAGATCAAGACCATCCTGGCCAACATGGTGAAACACCTTCTCTACCGAAAATACAAAAATTAGCTGGGCGTGGTGGTGCACGCCTGTAGTCCCAGTTACTGGGGAGGCTGAGGCAGAATTGCTTGAACCCGGGAGGTGGAGATTGCAGTGAGCTGAGATCACGCCACTGCACTACAGCCTGGCGCCTGGCGCCTGGCGACAGAGCAAGACTCTGTCTCAAAAAAAAAAAAAAAAAAAAGCAAACGTTCAGGAACACTAATCATCGGGGAAATGCATATTCAAATCACAATGCGATATCATCTCACACTTGTAAGAATAGCTATTATCAAAAAGATGAAAGATAAGAAGATGTAGAGAAAAGAACCCTTGAGCACTGTTGGTAGGACTGTAAATTAGTACAATCATCATGGAAAATAGTATGAAGTTCCCCCAAAAATTAAAATTAAAAATCCCATGGGATCTAGCAATTCCAGCTTCTGCATAAATATCAGTATATTAAAAGCATAGCTGTCACTAGCATGTTGTCATTGCAGCCTTTGTCACAATAGCCAAGATATGGAATCAACCTAAGTGTCCATCAAGGGATGAATAAACGAGGAAAGTGTGGCTCATATATACAATGAAATATTATTCTGCCTCAGAAAAAAATGAAATCCTGTCATTTGCAACAACCCTGGATAAAACTGGACATTACATTAAGTGAACTAAGCCAGACAGAGAAAGTCAAACACTTTATGGTCTCACTTATATGTGGACTCTTGAAAAAGCTGAATTCAAAGAAGCAGAGAGTAGAATGATTGTTACCAGGGCCTGAAGGTAAGGGGATGGATGGGAAGATGTTATTTAACGGATACAAGTCTCAGTATTAATAAATTCTGGACATCTATTGCACAGCATGGTGACTACAGCTAATAAAATGTACTGTGTCCTTGGAAACTGCTAAGACAGGAGGTTTTAAATTTACACAAAAAAAGAATAACTATGTGAGATGATGGTGATGGATATGTTAATTAGCTCAATTGTAGCATTCATTTCACAATGTATATATGTATCAAAACGTGTCTACCAGAAATATGTACAATTTTTATTTCTGAATTATACCTCAAAAAAGCTGAGGAAACATCTGTAAGTTAAGAGAAAATAAAATTGAGAAAATATTTCATCATAATGTTAGCATAAGTTAATTGGATTATGCTGACTTTTTCCAAATTGTACCATCTGTACAATGTTGTCGAAAATTTTAAACTCACTTTCCAGCTACTGGACTTAGCACCTGGACTGTATTTTTGGGCTGTGGCCAAATCTGCTGTCTTCAAGATTGCTTTATCTTGTGATAGCCAACCATTCAGTTTTATCCTTACTCTGGCCCACTTTTAGCTGAAATTGCTACTACAGAGGTTTGAGATTAAATTTCTAATATTTCAGGCCATTGTGGAAAGTAACCCAACACATTCAAGAAGTATATTACTTCCTGTAAAACTGACCTGCAAAAGAAAAAAAACTATATTCCATACTAAAACTTCTAACAAAATTTTCATAATTTGTCACTAATAAAAAACATCAAAAATACATTGGTTATACTACCCTGAGTTTAAAATCATAAACTTATATATATATATATTACTTCATGAAGTATGTATTATTATTTTAATTTTTAAATGAAGAACTAGCTTAGAGAATTTGATACACTTGTCCATTGCACTATTTGTAAAGGGAGGAGTAAAGATTCAAAGCTCTTGCTTACCATGGCTATACAGTTTCTGGGATGGCAATACCCTTAATTTAATACTTCAGCACTGCCCAAATAAATATCATCCAGTACTATCCTTAGATCACCAGTGTATTAACTAAAGTGAGACTCCAATCTCCCCTGATTTATGAGTTTGACCTATTGATTTATGTAAGAGCCCAGAGGTTTCCTAAAGAAAAAATTTTGACTATTCAAGAGTTCGAGCACTAAAAAACAAGTTTGAAACATGAGATACCACTACATACCTATTAGAATGGCAAAAATCCAAAACACTAACAATACCAAATTTTGGAGAGGATGTGGAATAAGAGGAACTGTCCTTAATTGCTGGTGGGAATGCAAAATGGTACGGCTACTTTGCCACACAGGTTAACAGGTTTTTTTAATAAAACCACACATATTCTTACAATCCAGCAATCATGACCTTGGTTTTTTGCCCAAACGAGTTGAAAATTTATGTCCTCACCAAAATCTGCACATGGATATTTATGGCAGCTTTATTCATAATTGCTAAAACCTGGGAGCTGCCAAAATGCCCTTTAATAGGTAAATGGATTAACCATGCTGCATTCTATACAATGGAATATTATTCAGTGCTAAAAAGAAATGGAAAGCCATGATAAACCCTGAAAAAAAACACAGAGGAAATTTAAATGCACACGATTAAGTGCCAATCTGAAAAGGTTATATACTGTGTGACTGCAGCTCTATAACACTATGGAAAAGGCAAAACTATGGAGTTAATAAAAAGGTTAGTGGTTGACAGGGGTTACTGGGGAGAGAAGGATGTACAGGCAGAGCACAGAGGATTTTTAGGACAATGAAAAATGAAACATTTTTTAAGGTACTAAAATGCTTGGTGTATGTCATTTTACATTGTCAACAGTCATAAAATGCACAACACCAAGAGTGAACTATAGACCCAGCATGGTGGCTCATGTCTATAATCCCAGGATTTCGGAAGGTGGTAGATCACTTGAGCCTAGGAGTTCAAGACCAGCCTGGATAACATGACCAAGCCCCATCTCTACAAAAAATACAAAAATTAGTGAGGCATGGTGGTGTGTATCTGTAATCCCAGCTACTCAGGAGGCTAAGGTGGGAGGATCAATTGAGCCCAGGAGGTCGAGGCTGCAGTGAGCTGTGATGGCAACACTGTACTCCATCCTGAGTGACAGAGCAAGACTCTGTCTTTAAAAAAAAAAAAAAAAAAAAAGTAAATTATGGACTCTGGGTGATAATGATGTGTCATTGTAGGTTCAATGGCTACAACAAATGTACCACTCTGGTGTGGGATGTTGATAGTTGGGGAGGCTTTTCATGTGTGGGTGCAGGAGTTATATGGGAAATCTCTATACTTTCTGCTCAATTTGTGAACCTAAAACATCTCGAAAAAAGTAAATCTATTTAAAAAGAAAGAGAGGGAGACAGAGATGTGCTGAGGAAGCCAAATCAAGGGGAAGGAGAAATTTGAAGCTCCAGCTTTGCTTTTGAAGTAGAAACACAAAGATTAAATTTACATTGATAGGAACAGGAGGAAATTAACACTGGTTTTAAAATAAAAGTCTCCTCACATAGAACTCTCCGTACTTCTTTTGCAACTTTTCTGTAAGCCTAAAATTAATTCAAAATAAAAAGTTTTTTAAAAAATCTACAATATGTTAGGCAATGTGTGTAATACCCTATGATACAAATATTATTCCCATTTTACAAAGACAGAAATGGAGGCCTGAGATGGTTAAGTAGCATGCAGAAGGCCTGCTAGAAAATGGCTGAGCTAGAATTCTAAATATTATGTCCCTACTGGGAAGCTCCTCCGTTCTTCACTAGACCACACTGAGTCCAAATGGCAGCATTACAGATAGGGCACAAGAGTGGGAGCCTAGGAAAGCAATACTGGAATTTATTTTCACACTTGCTTCTTTTTCACTCAGATGGCTGATCAATAGAAATAAAAAGTATATATAGAATTCCAGGCTTTATTGAGCAGACATTAACATATGATCACCATGCCTTGAGTCCCAGAAAGCATATCATGGCATTTTAAATGATTGAAAAACCAAGATGTTCTCTAAAGATAAAACAGATTTATGTGCCATTTCAAAAATATTGAGTCCAAAGACTTGTATATAAAAGATTACAAAATTAACATGAAAATCTTCTACTTATTTTTAAAGCAAAAGTAGCATCTTTCATTTTCTTTGACGTGTTTTGTCTACTTAGGCAGAAATAGAGGTTACAGCCTCTTCATTGAAATGTGCCCAATCTGAAGAGCCTCTTTCACGGCAACCATTAATTGTGAACACTCCTCCTTCAGTATCACAAATGGCACCTTTGACCTATTCCAGGACTTTTCCTCCTTACCCCTATATTCATTCCTAGGTCTGTAAAACTTAAATTTATTGATTCAAATACTATTCAGTGAACACCCACTGAATGCCAAACACTGTGCTCATATTTCTTAAAATAACCATAAGGTACTTCCTGCCTCTGATGTTTTAATGATGTCAAGACCTCTCTGAATTTTCAGATCTTCATAATAAAGTAGTTCCAAGAAAAGGATTCAGCAAAAGAGGCTCTCCCAAGATGTGTGAATATTAAAAAGATTGGTGGTGAATATTTCAAAAAAATCATAACAGTCGAGTCAATTATCCCTGAAGTCACAATTGGTCACTTGCAGAATACTACAGTAACTGGAGAGAGCATATGTTCTTGGGTGGAGGAAGATTCCCTGGGAGGTTCTGGAGCCTGTTTCAGCATTTGGTATAATAGCCAACATTAATGAAAGTGCCGTATGCAATGTGGATGTTCAAAAAATCAGTCATTAGCCAGGGATGGTGGCATATACCTGTGGTCTCAGCTGCTTGGGAGCCTGAGGTGGAAGGATCACTTAAGCCTGGGGCGATCGAGGCTGCAGTGAGCAGTGATGGGGCCACTACACTCCAGCCTTAGGGACAGATTCTGTCTGAAAAAAAAAAAAAGAGTCAGAATTTTATAGCCAAAAGGGACTTTTGAAATCAAAGTAGCTCATTATGATGAACATTTTCTCTCCTGAAAACACAGTGAGAGGAAACATCAGCAAAATGAATTTTCACACATTTATTACCATTGGAATTTTAAAAATCTGCTTCTTGGGGCATAAAAATATTCCTATAATTTTGAAGATATGCCTATAATCAAAAAAGGATACTTCATCATTTCAGTGCCTATTGACTGGAATATAGTTGTACAAGTCTGATATTGCTCTCTACAATTTTAGACGAGTTCATCAAGATATCACAGAAGACAGTTGACTTTTTAATCAATATTATGAATCTCCATCTACCTGAAATCACATCTATGAAATATCTTTTATTTCACTAATCTTTTCTCTCACTAATACTTGAACTCAGGGTTCTTCACCAAAAGCCTCATACCACACCAACGAGAACTAAATTACTGTTCTAACTCAGCCATAAAGCAGGATCAGAGAATGAGGCATAGAGTTTTGTTGACTTGTATGAGTCATGCCCATTTTCAAATAAATGGAAAATCAAGAGCATCTCTAAGATGCAAGAAGAAAAGGTCAGAGCTTCATTTTAAATGCCCTGAGCTAAGTCTAAATGTGAAATGTCACAAAATTCATTGCATGTAGTATTTTACCTATTATTTTAGTAACACAAAAGCAGCTAATTTCATCTTACAGTTTCTAATGTCATTCTGGAAAGGATGCATACTAATCAGAGAAAACATTTGCCAGCCAGGAGTTTACAGCCAGTTCTGCCTAAATTAAAGGAAGAATTTCCTAAGGAGTCACCATGGCTCCTACCTCCAATCCTGATGACATTCAGGTTGTCCACTAGAAGACAAATACTTGTTTAAGTTTTGAGGCCAGGCACAGTGACTCATGCCTGTAATTCTAGCACTATGGGAGGCCAAAGCAGGAAGATCAGTTAAGGCCAGGAGTTCAAGACCAGCTATGGCAACATAGGGGACCCTGTTTCTAAAAAAAAATTGAAAAATTAGCCAGTCTTGGTGATGCATGCCTGTAGTCCCAGCTACTTAGGAGGCTGAGGCAAGAGAATTGCTTGAGCCTCAGGATTTTGAGGCTGCAAGGAGCTGTGATTGTGCCACTACACTCCAGTCTAGGTGACACAGCAACATCTGTCTCTAAAACAAACGGAAAAAAAAATAAAAAACAAAAAAGAGAAAGTTTTAAGCAGGAAGTACCTTAAATTAAGTAAAAGTAATTACATTTTAAGCTGCTAATTTGAAAAAACTTTTTTGTTGTTGTTTAAGTATATTCTGGCCATTGGCCTATAATTAAAAGATGATCTGAGCATTTTCTTTAATACCACCTGCCTAGGCACAGTTCTAACAATTTTATTATTAACTCATTCATACCTCACAACAACCAAATTTGGTCAATACTATTATTATAATTCCTATTTTACAATGAGGAAAAGTAATCTTCCTAAGGCCACATAGCTAAGAAATGCCAGAGGAGAGTTTGAACCCAAGAAGTCTGGTTCCAGAGCTGGTACCCATGCTGACTCTTTCATGTACTTTGCATGTTACAGGTACAACATATAGTTTACAATAGATCATTTATCATATGTTCACTGAAGGCCTAATGCTACACTAAGCTCTGTATTTGATAGATGTCATTTCATTCCTATCACCCATGAGGCAAATACTGCATTTCACTGATCCTCCTCACAGATTCAAAGAGCCCACCCATATCCCTTGTTCATAGTCACACTGCCATTACGTGACAGAGTTGACATCTATTCCAGATCTAGCTCTGTCCAAAGCTCACAATGTAACAGCTCCACTAAAGAGTTTTTCAGGAAAAGGGCCAAGCAATCCCTTCATAAGGTATGAAATAACAAGACAAATGCCCAAATTTTAAGCTAATTATACTTTTATGATGCTTTCTTAATATACCTTGACAAATAAATAATTCTAGAATAGGTGAGACCTTGAGATGATCTAAGCCCCAGCCCCTTCTTTTACTGATGGCCCAGAGGGGTCAAAAAAACTCTCAAAATCACAGAGATGCAAGGCCAGAACCTCTCTCCACTCAAGCTCTGTGCCAAAATTCCATGCCACTTTCTTCAGAATGCTGCATCTCAATTCATAGCAATTTATACTATGAGTGGGTGCAAGTGTATCTATTTCTAAGACACTTTTGTTATCCCCTGTAGAGATAGGCAAATCTCTCTTTGCTGAAATTGCCTTTTTCAGCTGTATTAGGATTGCTTAAAGGCCACTTTATCCATGCTTATTGAAACACTTTCAATGATTGGACACAAATACTTGTTTACATTGTTTCCTGCTTGCTAATTTATCTTCCTGCATTTCTTTAAAAACATTCATTTGTAGTCTTAGTCCTCTTTAAAGACATTGTTTTATCGGGAAAAAAAATGGTCTCCTTAAACAAAGGCATATATTGTGCTCGCTTCAGCAGCACATATACTAAAATTGGAACGATACAGAGAAGATTAGCATGGCCCCTGCGCAAGGATGACACACAAATTCGTGAAGCGTTCCATATTTAAAAAAAAAAAGGCATATATTAATAAATCCTCCACGCTTTTTGTGATATTTAATTCAACCAAAAGAAGAAAAGCACTTTTAACTTAAGACAATTTCCCTTTTTCCCATTTATTGTGTGGCCCAAGTTTGTTTCTGTGCAATTCTCAGTATACCTCTTGATCTCTACTTTCTCCGTGTATCCTTTGTGATTCTGAGCTTGTTGGCACCCTGCTTCAAATCCTGTCTGGGCCATCTGCCATGTTCTTCTGTACCTTGACCCAGGGTTGTTGCCTAGATGGGAAGAGTGGGTATGGGAAGCCACCTGCTCCTTTTCTCTCCGTGGAGATGTTTCTAATCCTTCAGCAGTAAACGGAGATAGCATATAATGGCAGCAAATCTATGATAACTGTGCAAAGGCAGGTAAGTCTCCCAGCTCAACTACCTGATCACTTACCTAATCTTCTTTCTTAAGATGTCAGAATGCAGACCGGTGCTCCTTCCCGTGCAGCTTGCTTTGTTATGAATGCAATAATGGAGTTTAAAATTACAGCTTGGAAAGGCAGAGTTTGTGCCTAGGTAGTATTGCACTATCTGAATTCTCAGACATTAAACTGACAGTCAATTTATTTAGAATTCAGATCCCAGAGAGAAGGACTGAGGTTGGGAAAGCAGGAAGGTGTATAAACAGGAGAAATTTCTCAGGGAAAGAGATGTAGTTATTAAGGATTCCAGAGGTTTTGTGGAAAGATAGACGTGTTAGGGGTGGAAAGTATCTGAGTTGCCGCAGGCGAATCTATACCGGACTGCAGCAACGTCAGTTCTTGCCTCCTCAAAAGAACTTGACTGAGGGGCATAAGGCAGAAAAAAGACCAAGGCAAGTTTCAGAGCAAGAGTAGAAGTGTGTTAAAAAGCTTTAGAGCAGTAAAGAAAGGAAAGTTCACTTGGAAGAAATCAAAGTGGGCACTGTGAAGGTCAAGTGCGATGTTTAACCTTGATCCTAGGACTTCCCCGGTTGGCCCACTCCTGGCGTTTTGCACGTCTTTCCCATGATTCTTCCCTTAGGGTGGACTGCCCGCATGCGCGGCGCCCTCCTTAGCTTGGGAAGCGAGGTGGCCAGTGTGTTTAGGAAGTTGTACGCATGCCCATCCGAGACTTTCTGAGGCCCCGGAAGGTCGTACTCCTCCATTTTGTCTCTTAATGGGCATGTCTGGGCTCGCTCGCCCAATATCTGAGATTTTATTGGAAGCCTTTTTTGCTTCTCCCTGGCACCTGCATTCAATTAACACTTTAATGTAACAGCTGTGGACCATCAGGAGCTTGTCTCTCCCTGGCACCGGCTGCTGAGTTATCATTTTTAGAGAGGCAATGTGATAACTGTGAAATCATCACCAATGATTGCCTGACATTCCTGGTGGGTGGGAGAAGAGCCCTCTTCTGCCGCTTTCATGCTTGGCTAACTACCTGTAACGGATGGAAAAAGAAAGAAATGAAGGCGTGATTGCTCAGGAAGAAGAGGACAGAGAGGATCAAGGGCGTCAGATCTCTCTCTGAGGCTGAAGAAAATGAAGATCCTATCTGCTTCTGTGTTCAGAATGTACCTGGAAGGCTGGCTGGTCCCCCTGAGTGTCTCCCACAAGCCAGACGGGCCTCAGTGGCCATTTCTCCCCAGGGCCTCCCATGGCAACCAGACAGCAGAGTTGGAGAGCGTGAGAGGTTCAGTTCCCTTTGGCATTGTCTTTTCTTTTCTTTTCTTTTTCTTTTTTTTTGAGACGGAGTTTCGCTCTCGTTACCCAGGCTGGAGTGCAATGGCGCGATCTCGGCTCACCGCTACCTCTGCCTCCTGGGTTCAGGCAATTCTCCTGTCTCAGCCTCCTGAGTAGCTGGGATTACAGGCGCGCGCCACCATGCCCAGCTAATTTTTTGTATTTTTAGTAGAGACGGGGTTTCACCATGTTGACCAGGATGGTCTCAATCTCTTGACCTCGTGATCCACCCGCCTCGGCCTCCCAAAGTGCTGGGATTACAGGCTTGAGCCACCGCGCCTGGCCCTCTTTTCTTTTCTTTTTGAGACGAAGTCTCGTGCTGTCACCCAGGCTGGAGTGCAGTGGCGCTATGTCCGCTTACTTCATCCTCTGCCTCCCGGGTTCAAGCGATTCTCCTGCCTCAGCCTCCTGAGTAGCTGGAATTACAGGCGCCCACCACCATTGCCGGCTAATTTTTGTATTTTTATTAGAGATGGGATTTCACCATATGGTCAGGCTGGTCTTGAACTCCTGACCTCACGTTATCCACCCGCCTTGGCCTCCCAAAGTGCTGAGATTACATGCGTGAGCCACGGCGCCCTACCCCCTCTGCATTTTTTAAGTGAACTTAGACTTGGAGGACTCGGTGTCTTCATTACGTCTCTGACTGCCTGAAGGGGGATGGGCAGGCTGTCAATCAGATGGCATTTGTCAGAGTCACAAATTACCAGCAAAGTGCCTCATAAGAAAAGCCTCGTGTTCCCTCTGCAGAGGTGTCCCCATTTAGGAAACATGAACTGAAGTAACCTTGCAAGATAACGTTCTCACATATCACAGATACTTGATCATTTTCTTCTTTTTTAAACTTCAGAGAATTTTTTTTTCGCCTTCTTCACATGTTCTTGCCTATTACTAAGGAATTGAGACTTTTGAAATGTCATTGTCAGCATTTTCAGGCTATGATTTTCCTGTCTCATTAACAAAGGCCTCTTGTACTTTCCCTGCTTTCAGAAAGGTGAGAGCACTCGATTTATTCTTAATGTTCACAAGAGGCTTCCAACCTCAGCCTCCCACTGCTGACTTTCTGAACTTGACCTTGGGAGGGTCTGGAAACCGGCTTGTCTGTTTAGATAAGCCAGAGATAAGCACCCTTTTGTTGTGTTGTTCCTATCAAGAGCACTTATCTACAAACTGGATAATTTATCCTGCTCTTCTAATTTTTATCTTAAAAGCATCTCTCCTTCACCCTTCAAAACTGGCACACCATAGTCACCAAATGACCTTTTTGCTCTAGTCTGGAGCTAAAGTATTTGGAAACAATACCCGTCAGCTGGAAACTTAGACTAACTAATGTCTGAAATACTTAAGGATAGTAAGAGCTCCCTTCCTTGGATAACTTCTGTATTAAAGTCAAGGAGATGAAACTTTCACGTATATCATCTCACTGAATCCTCACAACACCATGAGGTAGGTAGTCCATTTTACTGATGAAGAACTGTGGCCCAAAGACTGTCTCTTGCTTATAGTGTCACCCAGGTACCATGTGAGGGAGGAAGATTTGAGTATACTGATTTCAAAACTGCAGAACATGTTGATTCTGCCTCAAGTATAATTCACTTAAATAACAGGACTATTAAAAAGGAGAGAATTTCAGTGGTAAGATGTGTCCTTTCCTCACACAGTAATACCTCCTCTCTGAGGAAAGACATTAAGATATATTAAATAGGGCTGGGTGTGGTGGCTCCCACTTGTTCTTCCAGAAATTTGGAAGGCCAAGGTGGGAGGATAGCCTGAGAACAGGAGGAGTTTGAGACCAGCATGAGTGACATAGCAAGACCCTAACTCTGCAAAAAAATAAAAAAATTAGCCAGGACTGGTGGTACCTGCCTGTGGTCCCACCTACTCAGGATACTGAGATGGGAGAATTGCTTGAGCCCAGGAGTCTGAGATTGCAGTGAGCGGTTACCATGCCACCACACTCCAGCCTGGGTAACAGAGCAAGATCCTGTTTCTAAAAATAAGTAAATAAATATGAATTGGCAGTATTTCACTGTTGGTTGAACAAGACTGTCAGATTCAAGTGTGACATAAAATACTGTTGGGAACTCAGTTTCTTTGTAGATATTATTGGTATTTATATGAATATTTCAAAGACACCAAGAGCCATGATTACCAAAGACTTTTCTGTTTAAATACTAAGCACTAACTCTTTTCCTGTTAGCCTTGGTTTGTACGGAAAATGCGGAAGCTGAAGTAAAGGTTCTCTCTTTTTTTTTTTTTCAGAGCCAGGACTTCACCATGTTGCCCAGGCTGGTCTCAAACTCCTGGGCTCCGTGCCCAGCCTGAGTAAATGCTTTTTACTCCATTTAGGAATGTGTGCTTCCCCTCTTTTCTTTGCCAAATCGGTTGACTTCTAATAATGTCTGGGTGAGTATGTTTACTGAATGTGAGTATGCCACAGAAATAACAGGAGAAATCACAAGTGGGATCTGTCAGTATCTATGTGTGGCATTTCATATGTTCTCTATTAAATTCCACATAAACTCCACAAGCTAAGTGATGTTGTCCTTATTTTATGGCCCAAGAAACTGAGACTCAGAGAAGTCAAGTAGCTTTTAAGTGTCAGAACTTGAGTTCAAACCTAGGGCTATCTGTTGTTAATTAAATAAATGAGGAAGTAAATATAAAATATGGTTTATGACATATGATTTTAGGTCATGGTTTTCAGAATGCAAGAGCTATGATATCAGGCAAGATTTTATATACAGTACTTTACTTGGCATAAGGTAGTCATAATTAATTAATTTTTTTAAAGTCCATAACCTTGCTTTTGAATGAAATGCGTTGCTATTAAAGCTCTGGAGACCCTTGTTTAAACTTCAATTAAGCAGTTTACTTGAAACATGAGCATAATACTTTAAGCCTGGCACTGAATATTACAAATTGAAAACACCACCAAATATGTTGTTATAAACCAGGCTGTTTGTTTTGGGGTGCTGTCAACATTTATAAACCTCTTGCTGATAAAAAGAAATACTGTTTTATATTACAACATTGAAATATGTGCAATAGAGATTTCCACTCTTGCTGTCTATTGCCAGTAAATGAAAGCCTCTGTTCATTCATGTTGTGCTCTGTAGCTGTGAAAAAATCATTCCTATCCAAACCTCAAGCACACGGGGACAAAATAATTGCTGGTTTCAAGAACAAAAGAGCAGTTTGAAACCATCTGTTTGATAGTGGACTTGTTATATTGAAGAATTTCTAAATAAGACAAAGGCAGCAGTAGGAGATCGAAAGTATGTATTTTTTGTTACTGCATCATTCCAGAATTTGTCACTAAGATTCTGAAAGTAACGAAAGCTGATTTTTTTGTCCCCATTTTTTGTTATGTATGTTCTGTTATAAAAGGAAGCAATTTTACTGTTTCTAGGGTTATTTTTTAAAATTCTCCTCAACTATATTATACATGAGTTTCATAATAAGCATGGCAAGAGAAAAAGACTCAGGCCTGAAGGCATGAGGTAAGAGTTTAATTCCAATTCTTCATGACATTTTAAATGTAAGGTATGATCGTGTCCCTCAAACATCACAAACACTACCATGATACACACTACCCTGGCATCTTCTAGCTTCTTGGACTGTCAAAATTGGTAAGCCCCTATGGATTCCGTTTGATTTTTTAAGCCTGTGGATTTTAAAATTAGAGGTTCTGTCTGCTGCTAAACTCAGAAAATGATCTGTGAAGCAGAGTTGAGAAACAGTGATATTTTCCATTGTAGTTCCTCTAGTTATCTTGTATTTCACTTGCTGGGTATCTGTACTCTTTTCCTTGGCTCACTTGATTCCGTGGAATCTAGCAGATGCAATGAAAGAATTACATTTGCAGTACACTAAATTTAGGAAATAAGAAGACCCTGAATTAACACTTGGTACGTACGTATATTTTTCAAATAACATCATGCTAAATAAACAGTAAATATTCTCCTTTCCATCCTTGCCCTTATCCACTCAATTTTCCTCTTCTGTAAATAGTTTACTGTACATGTTGAGTATCTCTTGTCCAAAGTGCTTAGGACCAGAAGTGTTTTGGATTTTATACTCTATTTTGTGATTTGGGGTGCTCCATCTGTATAAGCTTTCAAAATTTCTTTATACAGAAACAAGAAAATGCAAACATATATTCTTATTTCCACCCTTTTATATTAATGATAGTATGCAATGCACAGTGTTTTGCACCTTACCTTAGAGATCTTTTCAACATTCAAATGGCTTGAGTATTCTTTAAAGCTTCATAATGTTGAATTATATAAGCTACTATAATTTATTTAGTCAGTGTTCTGTTGATGGGCATTTAGGTTATTCCCCATCTTTTGCTTTTACAAACATTCTGCAATGAATAATCTTGCATATGTCTTTTAGAGCATGTTCAAGTGTCTGTGAACAACGTATTACTAGATGTATAATCTCTGGATCAAAGGATTACATTTGTAGTTTAGATACAATCACCAAGTTGCTCTCCATGGCATCCGTAACAATATACATACTGTGTTATCAAACATTCAGATATGAAACAGTCTAATAAATGAAAAAATGGTATCAGTTTGGTTTAATTTGCATACGTTTTATGAGTAAGTGAAGTTAAGCATATTTTTATATGCTCACAAGCTGCTTGCTAGTCAGGCAAGGTGATGTGCGCCTGTAGTACCAGTTACTTGGGAGGCTGAGGCAGGAGGAGCTCTTTAAATTTTTTATCCATTTATCTGTCAGATTTTTTTTTGGTCTTTTTCTTACCTACTTCTAGTTTTGTATATGATAGGAAAATTACCACATCTCTAATATGAATTATATATGTTCTTCTTTCAATATTTGTCTTTTGATTCTGCTTAGGATATTTTGCCATATGTTTATTTCTATGTACTTAATTTTCTGAATTTTTTATTTTATTGTAGGTTATAAATAATTGAAAGACTCTTTCTTCAAGATAGCAAAATAATTTTTTTCAAATATAGGTATATTTATTTGTATATTATCAGTAAAATTTTATACCAGATAACATAAAAGATAAATTTGGATGTACACCAATATGGAAACAGTTTTCACAATAAAAACATTAGTGTAGTATGTAATATGTATTAAGTAAAATAATGTCCTTAATTCTCCTTCTTTTCAGAATTCAGTTTTATTCATAATTTAGTATAATGTGAGCAATGTAGTATATATAAATATAAAAGAGAAAACTCTTGCATAATAACATTCAACACAAATTTAATAGTTTAGTAATTTGTGGAATGGAATAAGAGTGATGTCACCAAAACAAATGTCCTGAGACTTAATTATTAAGTTTCATAAAAAATAAAATTCAGAAGATTAAAAAAAAGATAAAGTTAGTTAGCACATCATCCTCCCCTTAATAAAGATTGGAGTTATTTTCTTCATTTTAATTTTAGACTTTCTGGTTATATGCATTTTAACAGATTATTACCTTTTAAAATTATTATTATTTTATGTGAGCTAGAACTGTTCAAGACAATGGAATGTGTGCTAACTCCAATAGATATCTCCTTTTGGAGTTAGAATTGGCTAACTCCAATAGGTAGATTGCTAATGTTGGTTTTCTTTGCAAATCTTACACACTTAGAACAAAAGATCATTGTAGTTTAAACAAATCAAATGTAAGGAGAGGCCTGCCAACTCCTTGACAATGCTTATGAGCTGCTGAAACATACATACATGAGTCCAGCAGCCCTGGTGTTCAGTGTCAAGGGCTCTGTATCAGTCAGCGAATCCATTCCCATTGGTCAGAACCCAGGCCATACTGGATATTTTTAATATTTCCTCTGCTCCCAGGGGAAGAAAGAACTTTGGTAGCCATGGGTCTACTGCGTGGCTTCAGTTTTACACGATCAAAAACTCAGTTTCTTCAGCTCATTAATAGTGAACTTTAGAAAATGGATTTTTTTGTATATAAACTTGCTAGATGTTTGTTGTTACTCTAGAAATTAAAATTATCTATTTACTCTAATAATCATACTTACCAAGGGGTCTGGTTCAAAGTGATACGGTCACATCAGAAGAGAGTTCAGCAGTTCCTCAAAAAGTTAAACATGGAATTATCCTATGATCCAGTAATTCACTCCTAGGTATATGTCAGAGATCATTTAAATGTATGTATGTATACACTACAAAACCTGTACACAATTGTTCATAGTATCATTATTCATAATAGCCAAGAGTGGAAACAACCCAAATATCCACCAAATGGATCCACGAAGTATGATATAGCCATGCAATGGAATATTATTCAGCAACAAAAAGGAATGCAGTACCGATACCTGCTACAGCATGGATGAACTTTGAATACATTACACCAAGTGAAATAGGCCAATTCCAGAATCCACATAATGTATGACTGCATCTATATGAAAAGTTCGTTCCAGGAAAATCTATAGACTGAAAGTACTGAGTGGTTTCCAGAGGCTGAGGAAAGATGAATGGGGAGTGATTGCTAATAGATAGTAGTGATGGTTGCACAGCTCTGTGAATGTCTAAAACATGGTAGTATGCACTTCTAAAGAATGAATTTTATGGTATTAATCTCAACCTATTATATAAATATATTATGTACATATAAAAAATATATATATATGAATATCTGAAATACAACTATTCTCAATACCAGTTTCTGAAATACTATTAATAGTTCTTCCTGTGGTTCCTATTGTCAGCCCAATAATTTATATAAGAAAAAGAATCATTTCCTAAACTAGATACATTTGGAATTCTCATTAGATAGTTCTCCCTAAATTTAGCAGCCGCAGCAGCAATAAGAACGTTATGTTATAGGAGAACCCGAGGCTAAACATGAGACATGTTCCTGCCTACACTGTATTTGCATTCTGGTCCAAATCTAATGAGACCTTTTTTATTTTTTTGACTCAAATATCTACTTTAAACTTAGATTAAATTAATCCAATAGCATTAATAGTAAAATAAAATGGAGGAAAAAGAATTTAATAAATTAAATGTAAGGAAAGAAAAAAAAGCAAAGTCAAAAGGCAAATGCAAGAGTTGGACTCAACACTCAAATAGGAAGAAGGGACTTATGTTGCCTTCAAGGTTATATGTTTCAGGTCTCTTTTTCTCTGAAACATAAAACTTGTTATAGAGAATGTAAAGTTTTCTCATGTTTCATAGTGGATTAGTAAAAAAGATGGATCTAGAATCCAAGTTTCTTGATCCCTAGTCCAATATTTTTTCTGCCCACAATCATTTATCCTTTCAGAGTCTCTGTTTTCTCATATATGAGCTGAGGATAAAAAGCCCTTTCCCAAGGCGTTTCAATAGGAATTAACGAGGTAACACATGCAGACACCATGGCGGCTGACACATTGTTAGCCATTATACGTGGCTATATCACACTTTATGCATCCATTCGGTGGACATTTGGGTTGTTTCCACTCTGGCTATCATGCATAATGCTACTATGAACAATTGCATACTGGTTTTATGGTTTGTACATAAATGCATTTTAATTATCTAAGACATATGTCTAGGATAATGTCAATCTGCAATAAATATCTGTTAAATGAATAATCAAATGAAGGGGTGAGTAAATAAATGTTTTGTTTTCTTTTTTTTCCCTTGGGTGTCAGCTCAAATTTCCTTCCTCCCCAGTATCAAATAAAGAAGATACAGGAAAATGTCTTCCTAGATAGAAAGAAAAAAAAAATCAGGCTTAGCTTATTCTTTTTTCCCCAGATATATTAAATGATTTGTCTAATGTCCCATACTTATGAATTGGTTAAGGAAGAGTTTGCCTGATTTCAGTACCCTTAAGTTTATCACGTTAAACTACCCTACCTTTCAAGAGGTAGCTATCTTTAGCAAATAAGAAGTTTAAATTGTGCTTCTTTTTAGTAAAAGACTAGATATTCTGTACATCATAGACATTTTAGAGTTGGAATACTTTATACTGTAAATTTGGTCTGGAAAGAAACCAGTGAATCTTGGATACATCTTGCACACCCATTTCTATATAGAGGATGGAACTGAAAAAGCATTAATGCTGAAACTTAGCTTCTCCAGCACGTGAAAAATGGATTTGAACTCAATGTGCATCTTGTTTTTCCAACCCAACTTGGGTTTCTCAAATTCTCAAAGTAGAAAATTTACCTGATTAGTGTGACCACTCAATGTGGTGCAAAGAGATAGGCTTTGGAAGTTACTCAAGATTGGTTCTGAAATATAACCCCCATCACTTATCAAATGTGTGATAGGAAAAGCCACCTAACCTGTTTGAGGGATATTCCTATCTCACACAGTCACTGAGAAAATTAAATAATACAATATATGTGAAAACTATGGCAAAGTCCTGGCACATTCTAGGCACCCATAAGTTATTAACTTCCTTCCTTATCTCTTCTGTTGAGTATAAGACAAATAAAGCATTTTAACCATTTGCATTTGTTTGTCTCTCTCACTGTTCTTAGGGCTTTCTCCTGTATGTGAGCATTTTGTAGCTCATCTTACTGGGAGCTCTAGTAGCCTTCCTCTTTGAGAGTTGGAACTGTAACTCTCATTTAGACAGAATTTCTATGAACATGAGGACTATGGCTTTTCTTCCCTTCAAAGACATGGTAGTGCTTATAGCTCTATCAGGTGGCAATTATCTGAATGTTTCTATTTTTTCCTCTGCAAACCTCATTTTAGTAGTAGCTGCTATGAGTGGCATGTTAAGAAGGATTTTGCAGTCATTGGAAAGAGTTTTGTGGTCCAACCTCACCATGCCACAAGGGAAAGGCAATAATAGCATTCGTGCCACAAATTAGCCATGGAGCACTAAGTGAAGGGAGTTATGTCAAATTAATCTTTGAAGCCCTGACCTTGCAGCAATACCTAAAGTAGCTCTTTATATGTAGAAGGTCTTCATTCTGTATTTCTTGACTGTATGAATAAATAAATGTACAGATGAAATCATCTGTGCCTGAAAGTGATGAATAGCCAGAAAAACTAGACAAAGTGAAACACAGATTCTTTAAAGACATTATCTGTTAAGTGGATCAGCAAAAATCAAGGCAATAAAGAGGAGATACTGTCTATAAAATTTTATTTAAAATTTGATGGATAAAGGATTTCCTCTTTTAGTTACACAGGAACACAGGAATAAAGGACGCATTGTTTCATTGTTTCGTAATTACCCATAACATTAATTTCTCCCACTATGATGCAGATCAGTTTTATTTATTTGTGTGTCCATGGTGAAAAAAGTTAACTCTGAGCCCATTTTTCTCTATAATAATCCCTTCAGGATACCTCCAAGAACATCTTCTGGAACCATGTGGTACTACTTTAGATATGGGATTATGTGTAGGAATATAATAGGGCCATTTAAAATTAAAATAACTCTCCAGGAGTGTTGTCCCAATTAGCTATTCAAGATGATCAACTGAGAAAAATAAGGTGAATATTTGTTACTGAAAAGACTTAATATAAATAAAATTTTACACAGAGTCAGGGAGATTTAAAAATGCTATGCTGATGGCATTCTATCTATATATATAATATATAGATAATATATGTATTATAATATATTGTATATAATTATATATATTATATATGTAGATTATATAGAGATTATATATAAATTTTATATATAATATATAGAGAATGCCATCAGCACAGCATTTTTAAATCTCCCTGACTCTATATAAAATTTTATTTATATAAAGTCTTTTCAGTAACAAATATTCACCTCATTTTTCTCAGTTGACCATCTTGAATACATACATATATATATATATATATATATATATATATATAAAATCTTTTCAGTAACATTCACCTCATTTTTCTATATATTATTTACATAGAGTACATATTATTTATACAGAGTCTACAACATAGACTACTACATAGATAGACTCTATATAATATAGAGTATTATATTCTATATAAATAGAAGAGGCCAAAAAAAAGGGTAGTATAGAGGATTCCTATCCTTGCCCTTAGATAGGATGTTGCTACTTTACAAAATGGATCATTGTAGAGCTTTGGTAAATTGAAGATATGCCTAAAGCTAAAGAATCTTCTTTTATGTTGTCTCAGTTGTTGCTTACATGACTACATCAGAATTTATTTGGACAATATTAGTATGAGACTGTTTCTTTTATTTTACTTTAATATAGCCAATAACAATGAAAAGCTGTTTAAATGGATGAGGATTTAATTTTCTGATATGACAATTATTATTGGTATAAGTTTAGAAATTGAGGTACCTTCCATGTATTGAACTTCTATTTGCACAAGTGCCATCTGTAGGTGAGAATAAATTACATGAATAGCTGTGATTCTCTACTCTTTCAGAATCACACAGTTAAAGAATCTGTAGTTGAGTAATGACTATGTGGAAAACTGGGTTATGAGCATTGAATTCATTATATTAGATCATTGGTAGTTAATGATGGGATAGGAAACCACATATTCCATGACTTGACCAAACTATATTCAAACTCTTGCTGTATCTACTGTTATTGTGCAAACTTATTCAACTCATTTAGCTTCTCTGAACTTACATCTTCATCTGTAAAATGATTTTTAAGAATCATTGATCTTTCATATTACGAAATTAGAAATGTTATATAAAGAGCTTAGTACAGTGCCCAGAACATATTAGGAACTCAATAATGGTAGCTATTGTTATTTTATCATCATCATCATTATTATTCTCCATCTAGTGAAAGCAAATGTTAATAATTGTATAAGATTTTAGTTTCAATATTGTATTTTAAAGCAATAAGTAATACTTTTCAAAGTTATGTAGCAATTATTCAAAAACTATTGTGATATGACCCACATGGGCAATATGGCAAAACCCCATCTCCACAAAAAATAGAAAAAATTAGTTGGGTGTGGTGGCTTGTGCCTGTAGCCCCAGCTACTTGGGAGGCTGAGGTAGGAGGATCACTTGAACCCTGGAGGCAGAGGTTGCAGTGAGCTGAGGTTGCACCACTGCACTCCAGCCTGGGCTACAGAAGGAGACCCTGTCTCAAAAAAAAAAAAAAAAAAAAAAATTATGGTAGCCAGCCTCCAAATGGCCACAGTGAGCTCCACCTCCTGGTATTTTCTTGTGTAGTCCCCTTCTGCATTATACTAGTGTTGGCCTATGTGACCCATAGGATATGGAAAATGTGATATTATTTGTAGTAGCAAGGATAATAGCTCCCCAAATATGTCCATATCGTAATCCCCACATCCTAAGCCTGTCAATATGTTGAATATTATGTTACATGACAAAAAGAATTTTTCTAATGTGACTAAATTAAGTTTTTTTTTTTATTAGGGAGATTATCCTGGATTATCTGGACAGGCACAATGTAATTCAAAGGATCCTTAAAAGATGAAATAAAGTCAGAGTCATAGAGATTTTAAATTGCTATGCTGATGGCTTTGAAGGCAGAGAAAGGAGCCACAAGCCAAAAAAATGCAGATGTCCTCTAGAAGCTCGAAAATGCAAGAAGCCTCTGAATTCTCTCCCGAATTCTGTAAAAGGAACACAGTTCTGTCAACACCTTGATTTTAGCTCAGTGAAACCCATTCTGGACTTCTGATCTTCAGAAGTATAAGATGATATATTCATGCTGTTTAAGTCACTAAGTTAGTGCTCTTTGTCACAGCAGCAATAGGAAACTAATACAGTATGTTACTTCCAATATTAGGTCATAAAAGATAGTAGCTTCTATCTTGGGCTCTTTGTTTCTGTCTTTTACATTGCTTATTCTGGAGAAAGCAAGCTGTAACGTAATAAAGAAACCTAAGTAGCCGAATGAATGGCCCCTATGGCAAGGAACTGAACACTACTAGCAAATGAGAGAACTTGGAAGGAGTTCTTCAGCCCCAGCCGAACTTCAGATGACTACAGCGCTAACTGACAGACTGACTGCAACTGCATGCAAGATCCTAAACCAGAACCAACCAGCTAAGCTGATCCTGGGTTACTGATGCAACAGAAACTCTAAGATAATATTAATATGTGTTGCTTTAAGCTGCTAAATTTCAAGGTAATCTGTAACACAGCAATAGCTAATACAATATCCTTGTGTAGTCTCCACCCACACAGAATCAGCCTGACCTACGTGACAAGTGAAATCCTTCAGAAGTGATGGCATAAAACTTCTTAAATAGTTCCTAAAAATTATTTCAGCTTCTGCTTTAAGCTTTTGGATCATTCACTCTGGAGACAAGCAGCTGACATGTCATGAGGACACTCAAGCAGCCCTGTAGAGCAAGCAACTTGTCAGTCATGTGAGAGAGCCATTTTGGAAGTATACCCTCCAGCTCAAGTCACACCCTGGACAATTTCAGCCCTTCGGCTTTCAAGTCTTCCAGCTGAGGCCCCAGACCTTATAAAACAGAGACAAACCCTGCCAACTGTGCTGTCTTTGAATGCTTGACCCACTGAAACTGTGAGATAATAAATAATTATTAGCATTTTCACCCACTTCATTTTGAGTGATTTGTTATGCAGCAATAACTAATACAAATGCATTAAATATTTAGTATATTCTAATTGCATTTTAGGGAAATATTTTTTCATGTCCATAATGTAAGTATGTTAGTATCTTTTCAAAATGATGCTTGACATGTGTATAAAACTATGTCAACACTTCTTTTCCTCTGACCAGAATCTCTGTCAATATTGCATAAAGCAAATATCAGAGAGAATTTGTGAAAACAAAGAAAACAGATTAACGCTACAGGGTATATAGCAGACTGAATACTTGGTAGGAAAGTGGCTTCTGCTTTGGGTGTATGCCAGCTTTATTTTTTATAGTCACAACTAGTAAGGTCAGAAATTTCTCTTGTTTATAACCAAGCTCAGCTTGCTCATACATTCTTCATTTAATTTGGTTGGATGTGGGAAGAAAATGCAGAAAATCATTGAACTTGCTAATTAAAGGTAATGTAGTCACTTCCTGAATAACTCTTAACCTCTTGGGAACTCAGTCCATTCAAACTCCAAACTTCATATCTGGACAACATCACCTCTTACTTGTCCTCCCCTTCTCGTTCTCCCTAGAAAGGGTTTTGGATCTAGGGAGAAGCTTACATAATGCTTGTGTGGGTGCCCATCTAATATCTGCATTGGCATGTCATCTTTACTGGCCCTTCTCTAAGCTGCAGCTTGTCCCACCTCATCTTGGGGAGGTCTCCGTCTTGACTATATTGGCTGCTGAAGCACCTAACACTGATATAGCCATAAGACTATTCTTCTGCACACTCAGTTCATGGTTGCCCCTTTTCCACACTGCCCAAACCTTGTTCTTTCCATCTGGGGCTCTAATCCACTGAAAATTTGCCATATTATCAAGTCACCCTACAACTTCACAATAGCATCCACTCTCTCCCTGAAAACAGGGACAAGCACAGAGGCTCTCAATTCTCAGACCTTCTTCACACCTTCCAATAAACTAGAAATTTTCTTATTTGTCTTCTACATACTCTGGAGCAGAAGGATACTTTCAATGGGGTGGTCAATTTGCTCAGGGAGGCCTCTCTTCTCCAGCTAGTCTGTCAGAGTGAGGCAGAATTTTATAATACCTTCTTGCTTATATGAGCAGAGCAGCAATTCCTTGTCTAGCCAGGGAAAATCATTTTTCCATATTTCAGATGTTCTACCTGGCCAGTTAAGTATAGCAGGCCTAAGTATCTAGTTATTCTGCCTAATTATCTAGTTATTCTGCCTAATTATCTAGTTATTCTTTGCAGGTAGAACTAATAACAGGGAATTTGTAAATCCATCCTATACATATTTGATATGAAACAATGCTGGATAATTGTTTTTAAATGCCTTCTTATCCAAGCCTGCAAGTATACTGAGAATGTTACTTTATTATATACAGTAAAACATGTCCCCTCATATCTTCAACATAGCAGTATGCCATACTGCTTTGGCATACTATGTGGCCATGTGTAATGTACCAGACAATAGTGTGTATCACTGAGTTTTTGTCTCCCTGTCTTTGTGTGCCACTGCTCATTTCTTAGCAGTATGAAATAGCAGTTAAAAACACAGCTTCTAGAGAGAGAATTTGATTCAAATTCTCACTCTGCAACTTATTAGCCATGAGGCCTTGGATGGGTTATTTAGCCTTTCTTTGTCATTTTTTTCATCTGTAAATAAAATGAGGTTGTTGGTAATAGTATCTACCTCACTTCGTTGTTGTAAGGAATGAAATGAAATTATATTAAATTTTTAGAATGCTGGAAAACACTGAATAGTTGTTAGTTATCACTTTTCCCTTCTTTGGCCTTTCCATTCTGTATTAGCGAGCTCTGGATGCCATTACAAAATACCCCAGACTTGGTAGTGTCAGCAACAGAAATTTATTTCTCACAGTTCCAGAGACAGGGAGATCTAATATCAAGGTCAGAAAGGTAGGTTTTATTCTGAGGCCTCTTCTCCTGGCTTGTATGGAGGTAGCCAGCTTCTCACTGTGTGCTCACATGACCTCTTCTCTGTGCACAAGGGCGAGAGAACTTTCTCTGGTGTCTCTTTTTATAAGGGCCATGAGGCCCCACCCTCGAGAACTCATTTAAAACTAACCACCTTCCAAAAGCCTCATCTCCAAATACTATCATATTGGGGCTTAAAAACTTCAACATATAAATTTGGGGAGGTTTGTGGAGCTACAAACATTTAGCCCAAACACATTCCTCTCCCAAAACCCAATTTTTTTCTCTACCTTGACTTCCTATATCTTAAAGAAAAACTAGATTTACTAAGTGGCTAGAAACATTCAGTAAATGTTATGTATGCCAAAATACTTGATTCAATGGAATGCTAGGTCACAGATTCATTTTGTTGAAAAATATCTGGACCAGTCATGAGCTTGTACAGTTAGAAATAAAGACCTTATAACCATTACCTATTCTACAAATAATGCTGGACGAAAACAGTATGACAAAATTCAATGTCTAAAAACAGTGTGTCTATACATCTGGAGCCAGCTGCAGGCCAGAGATTTAGACTGGGTGATTCTTCTGGCCTCAACTGGCCTCTCCCATTTGCCTGGGAGTAGACTGACTATCGGTGGGGATCTCATTTTTCTAAGTTTTATCTGGCTTGGAGAATCCAGCTTGGCTTGACAGGTCTCATATACCACGTGTCTCTAACATCCTTCCAGCAGGCTAACGCAGGCATGTTCTCTCATGAGATCCAAATACAAGTAAGCTCAGTGCTCAGTCCTGAAAGCAGAAACCAAAAGGAAACACATTCTGCTAGCCAGAGCAAGTCCCAAGAACAATTCAAATTCAAGAGATGGAGAAATAAACTGTGCCTTTTCATGGGACAAACGAGGAATTAGAGCCATTTTGCAACCTGTTTCACCAACGATCCTTTTGTCTACCCTCCCTTTCCTTTTTCATTTAAAACACCACAAATTTTAATTAGAGAGAGTATGGCATATATTGGGGGGAAGTTTTATGTAATTTATAGATACCCTTTGGGGTAATTTATAAAAAGTCTTCCTTCATAAGATTTTGGATGGTTTTGTGTGGGAGGTGATAAGACCGTTTTTATAAAACATACTTAGGAATAGTTCTGAACATAATTTAACTTAATTTCTTCTTTTGTGTCTCAAACTGAGAAACATTTTTTACTAAATAGAAATATTTCATGTGTTCTAAAAGAGAATATTAATATAAACTAGAAGGCTGAAAAGTATCAAAATCTATTTGTTAAAAATGTATTACTTTATCTTAGTGTTTACACTTAGCATCCAGATATGACCAGGAATGAGGAAATTTGATTTTTGGAAATGAAACAATGATGTGCTGCCACCTTGTGTACAATGCCTGTAAGCACCATTATTTGCCATTGCTATTAGAATACTAATCAGAAACAAATACTGCCATGAAGGGAGACATTTTGTCCTTATGAAAGGCAGGGTTTCTTAATCTTTTGTGTGCTCATGGACTCTGACAACCTATGGGCCTTTTTTCATAATAATGTTTTTAAAACACTAGGATTAGAAAGGAAACTATATTGAAATGCAGTTATCAAGAGATTTAAAATGACATGTATTATACTAATATGTGTGTTTGATTAACAGGTCAGTAACAAAATGTAGTCTAATAATTACTATAATTTTGAGCTGATAGTGTAAACATTTTGAGACGTCTGCAACAACAGTAATATGATATGAAAAGTATGTCACAGGCTGGTACTATTCTGGTCTGTTGCCTATGCTGTATTCATAGTTGAAAGAAATGTTTTATTGCAATTAGAAATTAGTGGAGAAAACTGGCACATTTTTTCCTATATAAGCTCATGGGCCACTTGAATTCTATCCATATACCCCTGAGACTCCAGAGACTCCAAAGTAATCATTCCCGACCCTTAATGTAGCTTACATTTGATCACTAAACAAGGAAAAACAACACATCTAAAGTTTCCAAATCAAATCTTTATGAAGACCCTATGAATCCATGAAAATGTTCTTTAAACAACAAAGCATTAATTTTTCTCTCATAAGTACTACTTTTATATACCATAATGTAATGAACTATTGGATATTTCTGATATTTTTATATTAAATATTATCAAGTATTTGTCAACAAAATATATGTGTGATTTTATTTGATTTCTTAAGAAACTAAGTTACCTTGATTCTAGCCTAAGGTGTGTCTTTGGATGATTCAGTGGCCTTGTACATTTCTTTCTTTTTCCTTCCCTTCTCCTTTGCTTTCTTTCTTCTTTCTTCTCTTTCTTTCTCTCTCTGTCTCTTTCTCTCTCTCTCTCTCTCTCTCTCTCTCTCTCTCTCTCACACACACACACACACATTTTATTTTATTCTTCAACAAATATTGAGTAATGAATTTAAATAATGAATATGTGCAGACAGCTGTGCTAAGCTTCATATAGTGGATAGTGATCTCAGAAGCCTCACAGTCATAATATATCATGGCCCAGAGGCAAGTTTATCATACAGCCAAAGAAGATTCAGCTTCATCCAATGGTCCAGGTGTGTGTTCAGCTCCATCATAAAGGGTCATGGTTTCCACAAGACCCTCCGGGTCAGAGACAGAACTGACATAGGTTTCCATCTATCCTCATGTGCTTGAGCTCATACTGTGGGTTCCAGCTTGTTATTGCTTTCCTCCACATACCCTCTCTCTTCCCTTCCTTACTGCCTGCTCTACAGACTTCAACTCCAACATTAGGCACGAGGGTGACATGTTTACAGAGACTGCTTTACCAGCTCCCATCATTGCATAAAATCAAATCCCTGTAGTAAATCTCTGATTGTTACAGATATGTATATATTGTGTATATTTTGTTATATATAATATATAATGTATAATAATTCTATTATCATAATTATGTATTATATGTCATATAATATATAATCATATATTACTACATAGGATATATCCTAATGTAATTATTAGACTAACCACTAGTTTGTTTTATATGTAAAATAATGTATATGTAATATATCATATTTTAATATCATATATAATATAATAATATATTAATACAATATGTTATATGTTATATGTTATATTATTAGTTAATATATAACATAATTATCGATATAATATATAATTTTATATATGATATAATTGTATATTATATATAATTTTTTCTATATAATTATATATATATGAAACAATCTCTCATGGTTAATCAAATAACTACATTAGGAGATATATATATATATGTATGTATATCCTAATGGTTCAGCTTCTCTGATTGAACCCTAATACAAACACCCATCCATATTTATATGCTAACACACCATAATAGCTGTCTAATTAATTTCCAATCCTTCTCATTTAAGGAACTGATCATTATACTTAGCCAGGCTACTAAAGGGACAGTCTCTGTGCTGATTCTATCTGGATCCCTCCAGCCCACCCCAGGATTCCTTGCATGCCATATTGTACTTCTGTCCCACAGCATCCACGCTGAAAGGTCTTCAGAAACAATCATCTTTGGTTTTCTCAGCCTGAGCCTTCTGTTCTTTTACTATCCTGGTCGAGCATTCTCTTGGGCATGGTCAACATTCTCCTCAAGCTGCAGTGTTGAGAGGGACATTTGAAAACCTGCAAGAGTCACACTGGACATGGAGCCACTTACTCCGCAGCCCTTTGACATTCTCCACATGACACCATTAATCATGGCCTGGCAGCACAAGCTTGGGAGTACTCAGGCTCTTTACCATTTAATCACTTTATGTCCAGTATCACATGGGTCATAGCAGTTTTTATTGCTAGTCCAGAATTCCCCAAAAAACTACACGCTAGCGCAAGTTATTTTCATAAAATCCAGTACATAGCTTTAGAACAATATTCAGTGGAAATATCTGCACAAGGGTATGATACAGAATGTTGATGGCACATTCTGTCTCGGGGTCAGGGCCATTCTCAAATTTACTCTACAGACATCAGAAAAGACTGACCATTTTATTTTGCGTTACGAATGTACATTATTTTTTTTTAAATAACTTTGTTACTGTAATAGCTCAACTATCGCCTCCTGTTTGAGGGCTTCCTCAGTTCCTTCAGACTGAGCTAATGACTTTGTTTGGTATGTAACATCATTTTAATAAAAACCATGTTGTATAATGACTGGATGTTTTTCCAGCTTATCCACAAAACTGTAATCCTTTCAAGTCAGAAATCACACTTTCTTCACCTTGGTTTGCCAAGTCCCTAGTGTATTAAGTTTCATTAAAGTTTTGTTGAATGAAGAATAAAGGTATTTTTATTTTACCTCAATTATCCAGGCTTGGGAAAAATAACTCATTGTTTCTTTTCTGTGTTACCAAATACATTGATGAACTTTAAGAATCTATCTAAAGGCCAGGGCATGCTGGTTCACACCTGTAATCTCAGCACTTTGAGAGGCTGAGGCAGGAGGATCACTTGAGTCCAGGAGTTCAGATCAGCCTGAGCAGCATAGTGAAACCCCACCTCTACAAAAAATAAAAATACTAGACTGGGAAAAATGATGAAATCTCGTATAAAAAAAATACAAAAATTAGCTACTTGGGAGTCCGAGGTGGGAGGATTACCCAAGCTCAAGAGGTAGAGGCTGCAATGAGCCATGATCACACCACTGCAGTCCAGCCTGGGTAACAGAGTGAGACCCTGTCTCAAAAAATAGTAGTAAAAATAAAACTTAAAATATTAGCCAAGAATAATGGCCCTTGCCTGTTGTCCTAGCTACTCAGGAGGCTGGGGTAGGAGGATTGCTTGAGCCCAGGAGGTCGAAGCTACAGTGAGCCATAGTTGCTGCCACTGCACTCCAGCCTGAGTAACAGAGCAAGACTCCATCTCTATAAAATGAAAAAGGAATCTATCTAACAATTAAACTGCTTACTACCATTTTCGACTCTCTGAATCAATGATGTCCAGTGGGACTTTCTGTGATGATGTCTATTATGAATTTGAAATGTGTCTAGTGCAATTGAGAAAGTGAATTTCTAATATTATTTCATTTTAGTTAATTTTAAAATAAATAGCCAAATATGGCTACGAGATGCTAATTGGTCAGCACAGCTCTGGATGCTTGGCATTTTGTAGACACTTCCACAGAGATAGTCTATTTTTCAACTCTTGAGTCTTAAAAACATGCCACAGACTAAGCTCTATCAACCTCTTCCCTCTGATAATATTTTGAACCTAAATTCACCATACACATAGGGGGAAAATGATCTCATTTCTGGAACAGATACTGATAAGATAATCTTTTTCTAAAACATGGCCTTGGAATTTAGTAGCATCATTGATTTTGGTTTTAATTAATGATCTTCAAAATGTTTCCCATTACACATTATATGTTCTGTTCATCAAAGCAATTAGAAACTTCAGTAAGGAGGACATTTTATGCAGTATAATGTTTTTTAATGCAAAGTGAACATATTGTTGGACAAATAATCTTCATTTTATTCCCTCCTGAAAAAAAAAACTTGTCTGAGATTACACAGCCATTCTATTGAAAGAACGATGCACAGTTTACTGAACACATTTGTATAAAACTGTCCATTAAAGACAAATAACAGGTTCTTAAATCAGTGCCTATTTTGTTTTGGGGGTTGCTCTTTCCTCAAAATAGGCTACAGAAAAAAAAATCTCTATAGAGATGATTAATTCATTCTGAATGTTTGATGTCTTTTAAGGGTTTAGTCCAAAAAAATACACTTAACTCCATTAAGAAGGAAATTTCAACTAATAAGCTGTATAAGAAGAGGACTGTAAAACTGATGGTATAGCTGTAGCTTAATCATATGTGCTGTTTGTTTGTATTTATCAAGGAATCCAGAAATCAAAAGGCAAGTGTTTGTTTGTTTAAGATTAAACTTAGAAATCCTAATTTAAACCAAGCGTCTCAAAAGCACAAGCTAAACAACTAGCCCCACAATGACTAAATTTAGAAACACACATTTACAGAGCAATTCATCTATTATTTAACTATAGACTTTTTAGAGTAAAATGAGATCCATTTCAACAACATCAAACAATACCACAAATGTGAAAACAAACTAATAAGATTCAAAGGAATTGCAGTATTAAAAAATACTAACCATGAAATTTGCTCTTTACATAATACCCTTGATTTGTGTTTCTATGCTATTTTTAAGAAGCAGCTTAATGCATCTCTTATACAGACCTATGTTTGAACCTTATTTCCTTAGTTTACTTATATCCTAGCAAAGGTGCTATGCTTTGATTTATTCGTCAGTAAAATGTACATAATCATCATGACTTTTATATGGAAAACATTTAGAATATTAAGTACTCCATTAATATTAGCCATTCTCATTCAAGGCAAGAAATCTCTTCTTCCATTTATTTCTTAAAATGTAAATCTTGATATGTGTGATCTTCTGTAATATCTCTTACTCTCTTTCAAGCATCAGCTTAAGGAAGATAAATTGGAGCATTTACAAGCCTACAGAAAGAGCAGGGGTTAGAAAATTGTAATTGTAAATCAGACTAAAACTCTATTCATTGCCATATAAGTGGCATAAGAATGTATGCCAAAATAATTATGAATAAAAATTTAATAGGAAAAATGAAGTTCTAGTAGTAAAGCACAGAAGTGATTGTTAATATTATTGTATTGTAACTTGAAGTTGCTAGCTAGCGAGATCCTCATTCAAAATTCGAAGTGTTTGTTGTGGCTGTTGCTGAAATAACAAGAACAGGAAAAGAGGCGAATCTGTATCCTACCCCAGAATTCTGGTGGAAGATGAACCATAGGACGGAGAATTGGTGGTGACAGCCTGAAAGAAGAAAGGTGAGCAGACCAAATCTCTAGGGCTTGCAGGAAGAAAAGATTATACTGAAAGCTGACTCCAGATGAGGAAGGCGACTCAAGTGCTTAAGCAGCAGGAGGGCCCATATGTTACCTCACAGCAGGGAGATGGGAAAGAAGCCCAGTTGGGGATTCTATCAACCTCATGATTATATAACGAATGAAAATACTCACTGGAGTTAAACAGATCTAAGTGTAAATCTTGGCCCAACCATTTGTTAGCAATGCAACAGTAAGCAATTTTTTTTTAAACTCTCTGAGATTTATTTTTATTACTGTAAAATGAGGACAATAGTTGTAATGTCTTACAGCTTTGTTGCTTTATAAAAGACATTTGTAAAGTGATTAGCACAATTCCTAGAAGAAAGTAAACTTATTTGTAAAATTTTATTTTTAATTGACAACAACTGCATGTATTTATGGAGTATAAAGTCATACACACACACACACATACATATTATGGAATAATTAAATCAAGCTAGTTAAC